CTGCTTCCCCTAGGGATGGGGCTTCCTGAAAGCTGAATTGTAGCGATTATTATTTCTCTTCTGGTCTGGCTACCCAGTGGAACTACCAGGCTTCAGGCTGGTACTGGGGAGTGTCTCTAAAGAGTCCTCTAATGTGATTTTCTTAAGGCCTCTCAGCCATGGAATCCGGCACCTGTTCTGGTGGAGGTAGCAGGGGAATGCAGTGGACTCTGTTAAGGTCCTTGGTTGTAGTTTTGTTTAGTGCACTGGTTTTCTCGATTATCGTTTGTGCTTGTAATAAAAGTGTCATGTGGAGAGACTCAGGACCTCTGTTAGCCAGGATGTTATAGGCAGTGGAGTTAACTGTTGTTTTCTCCTTTCTTGGGGCATGGTTGTTCTTTCATGAGTTGTTGTAATGATTTCTCCATGGTCATTTTTCACATGAGCCCATTAATGAAGACCTAGGTTGGTTTTTAAAAAAGAGACGGAGGCTCACTGATATTAACGGGATTGGTCATATTGTTCAACTGACTTGAGAACCTTCCAAAGTAAATCCCTTCTTCATGTGCCCCTTCAGAGAAGTTCAATCACATGTTCTTCTTACCACCTATTTTCCAATCTTGCTCTAAGTCTCTAACTACCCAAACAAGCTGAATATAAATCATTAGATATTTATACCTCAGGCCATCTCTCCTATATTAAGTGGACAACCTTAATACAGGACAGCCTGAAGTTCTAACTGCTAGAAGGATTTCCTGTATCTTAAGGCCGCTGTTTAGTGAAGCCATAATGGAGTGGCCATTCCTTTCTGAACATTCACAAACTTAAATGTTTCTTTTTCTCTGGAAATATTCTCTAGCATTGTTAAAATAACCCATACAACCCAGAATTTTTTAAAATTACTTTGTCATTTGAATTAAATGCTATGCCCACTTAATTTCCTAAAGCCTTAATCCCAATCCACAACCTGTGATAATTTTAATAATTATGTCCAATTTATCACTAGCAAGAATATCTGTGCACACAAACATTCAACATAGTTCTGGAACCCTATTATTGCTACTTCTGATACTGCTTCTAATATCACTCAGAATCCTGGTAGAAAATGTATACTTAACTCACACTAGATCATCTGAAGAGGGATAAAGGAACTATTTTTAGTAATGTGGGCAGACTTCAGGGAAAATAACAAGGCATAGTATAATATTCTGGGGCTAGCAATAGTAGCAACCTCTTATCACAGCCCTGAATGTCATTGGAACAGTGCTTAATAAATGTTGAGGGTATCCTGCTGATAGCCATGACCTTCAGAAGAGAAATACAACCCATCTAGGTACAAGCCTTCAGGAAAAATCTGAAAGAATAAATGCCGTAATCTTAAGCTTCCCCTGCTTTCTCATCTGCCAGTTACTCTCAGTGGCAAAACGTAAGTGAAATCTAGAGTACAGAGGAACACATTGAGGCTGTCAGTACAGGTCAGCCTCCCTGAGCAGAGGAGGATGGAGAAGATGTTAGAAAGATGAAGAGTAAATTTAGAGAGGCAAACAAAATATATTCAGCACACAGCTTATTCCCTGAAAACTTATCTGTTCCCTTTTATGATATTTGTCTGGTAGTTACCAAAAATTTATACTAGCTAGGTAAGAACCCAAGTGAGTTGCCAGGGGACCTAGCAGGATAGTTTCCAGGTAGTATCTGTAGCAATAAACAACCATGGAACCATTCTTTGGTATCTCAGTTTCTACTAGTTCTTCCTTCATATGAACTCAGAATTTCAGAAATGGAAGGTTCACTTCTCTATTTTCTTAAAGTGGTAGGTATAGCTCCTTAATTAACTCCATCATCTCAAAAAGAGAACAAGAAAAGTTGAGGAGGAGTTAACTGATGGTACTAGTTCCCAATATATAATTAAAATACAGTTTTAAAATACATATTTATAAAACTGTTGAAAGGAAATAGCAGAAATTACAGCAGAATTACTGTAAATGAAACAGAGCCTGGGAAAACCATAGAGAAAATAAACAAAACAAAGAGATGGTTTTTTAAAAGAGATTAACAAAATTGACAAACCTTGGCCAGAGAAATTAAGAAAAAGGAGATAAGACTCAAATAACAAAAATCAGAAATGAGCGGAAGACTTTACAACTAAATGCCACAGAAATAAGAAGAATCACAAGAAACTACTATGAATAATTATATCCCAACAAATTAGATAACTTAGAAGACATGGATACATTTCTAGAAACATTCAACCTACCAACAAAATGATGAAGAAACAAAATATCTGAACAGAGCTGTAACTAGTAAGGTGATTGAATCAACTGTCAAAAACCTCCCAAAAAAGGAAAGCCCAGGGCCAAATAGCTTCATTGGAGAACCGTACCAAATATTTCAATAAGCATTAACAATAATCCTCCTCAAAATCCTCCAAGTAATTGAAGAGGAGGGAACACTTCAAATTCTTTCTATGTGGCCAACCTACTCTAATACTAAACCTAGATAAAGATACTACAAGAAAACTACAGACTAATATCTCTGATGAATACTGATGAAAAAATTCTAATCAAAACACAAGCAAATTGAATGTAACAGCATATTAAAGGGATTATACATCATAATCAAGGGGGATTTATTCCTGGAATATAAAGATGGTTCAGCATATGAAAATAAATCAGTATAATACACCACATTAACATAATAGAGAAAAACCACATGATCATATCAATTGATTCAGAAAAAGCATTTGACAAAATTCAATGCCCTTTTATGACAAAAACACTGAGAAAACTAGGAATACAAGGAAATTACACCTCAACCTAGTAAAGGTCTTATATTGAAAGCCTACAGTTAGCATCATGCTCAATGGTGAAAATCAGCAAGTTTTCTAAGATCAGGAACAAATCCATAGTTTGTTCTCCCCATGTTCAACATAGTACTGGAAGATCCTAGCCAGAAAAATTGGAGAAGAAAAAGAAATAAAAGGCATCCAAACTGGAGAGGAAGAAGTAAAATTATCTCTGTTCTCAGATGACATGATCTTATATATAGAAAACCCTAAGGATCATACATACATGCATACACATACCGTATGCCTAACTATTAGAACTACTAAATGAATTTAGTAAAGTTGCAGGATGCAATATCAACACACAAATATCAGTTGCATTTCCATACACTAACAATGAACAGTGTACAACGAGAAAGACTTGCACATTGCAAACTATAAAACATTGCTGAAAAAAAGTAAAGACACAAATAGATGTAAAGCTATCCCATGTTTATGGATTAAACACGAGAGTTAATATTAATATTCTTAGAATTAGAATATTGTTAAAATGCTTATACAGCCCCAAATGAAACACAGATTTAATGCAATCCCTATCAAAATTCCAATGGCATTTTTTACAAAAATAGGAAAAATTCATGTGGAATCAGAAAAGACCCTGAACAGCCAAATCAGTCTTGAAAAAGAAAAACAAAGTTGGAGGCATAACATTTCCTGATTTCAAATATATTGCAAAGCTACAGTCCTCAAAACAGTAGGGTACTGGTATAAAGACTGACACATAGACCAATGAAATAGAACAGAGAACCCAGAAATAACCCCTCATATATATGGTCAAATGATCTTTGACAGGGGTGCCAAGGCTACACAATGTGCAAAGAATTGTCTTCAAAAAACAATGTTGGGAAAACTGGATATCCACATGCAAAAGAATGAAGTTGGACCCTTACCTTACACCATATACAAAAATTAACTCAAAATGGATTAGACATCTAAACACAAGGCCTGAAACCATAAAATTCTTAGAGGAAAGCATAGGGAGAATGCTTCGTGACATTGAATTTGACGATTATTTTTAGGATATTACACCAAAAGCCTAGGCAGCAAACCAAAAACAGACGAATGTACTACACAGAACTTAAAAACTTTTTTGCAGTAAAGGAAACAATTGGTGAAGTGAAAAGGCAACCTGCAGAATGGCAGAAAACATTTGCAAACCGTGTATTGAAAAGAGGCTAATATGCAGAATATATAAAGAACTTCAACCCAACAACAACAAAAAAGCAATCTGAATTAAAAATGGCCAAAGGACTTGGATTGATAAAAGAAGGTATACAAATGGTCAAGAAGCATTGAAAAGATACTCAACACCACTAATAATCAGGGAAATGCAAATGAAAACCATAATAAGGTATCACGTTGGATCCATTAGGATGGTCACTATCAGAAAAACAAACAAACAGTAAAAACAAGTATTGGTGAGGATGTGGAGAAATTGGAAGCCTGTGCACTGCAGGAATGTAAAACGGTGCAGTTTTTATAAAAAACAGTATAAAAGTTTTTCAAAAAAATAAAATTGGAAAAATAGACTTACCTTATGATCTAGCAATCCAATTTCTGAGTATATATACAAAAGAATTGACAACAGGATATCTGTGAGATATTTGTACACCTGTATTAATTGCAGCATTATTCACAATAGTAAAGAGCTGGAAGCAACTTAAATGTCCATTGAAAAATGAATGAATAAAGCCAATGTAGTATGTACAATAATACAGTGGAGTAATATTCAGCCTTAAATTAAGAAGGATATCCTGTTATATGCTACAACATGCATGAAACCTCAAAATATTATTTAAAGTGAAATAAGTCAATCACAAAAAGACAAATACTGCATGATTCCAGTTTTATAAGGTGTCTGAAACAGTCAAACTCTCAGAAATAGAAAGTAAAACAATGACTGCATTTTTGCAAGATGCAAAAATTCTAGATATATATTGAAAAACAATGTGCACATAGTTAACAGTGCTGTACTATACACTTAAAAATGTTTAAGATGTATACTTTAGATGTATTTATGTGTACAAATATGTGCATATAAGTCACATTTGCATATACTTCTTCTAAAACTATAGTTATTACAAATTAAATTTGTGTGTTTATTTGTAAGCTATGGTAGCTATTTAGTAAATATTTTATACAATGTAAACAAAAGAAAGAAAAAATAATGCCTTACTTTGTTGCAGAAGTACTATTCTCAGGGACTTTAACTAGTGGTGCTCCTATCACATAACCCATACCATATCCAATCATTGACATGCATTCTGCAATACCTGTAAAATAAACAATGAACATCAAGCAATTTCATAAGCCAGCTTTGTTATGATAAAAATGGACTGAAATTGATTATTTCTGAAAGCTTTTCATAGCATTCTGTATTAGTCAGAGTTCTCCAGAGAAACAAAACCAGTAAAAGAGAGAGAAAATCAGTAATGGAAAACCAAACATCATTATGTTCTCACAAGTGGGAGCCATGCTATGAGAATGCAAAAGCATAAGAATGATATAATTGACTTTGGGGACTCGGGGGTAATGGTGAGAGGTGGGTGAGGGATAAAAGACTGCACATTGGGTATAGTGTACACTGCTTGGGGGATGGGTGCATCAAAATCTCATAAATCACCATTAAAGAGCTTATCTATGTAACCAGACACCACCTGTTCCCCCTGAAACTACTGAAATTTAAAAAAAAAATTTAAACACAAAAATAATAAGCACCTTCAAAAAACAAAGAGAGAGAGAACAGAGAGATTCATTTTGAGGAACTGGTTCATACAAAATACAATTGTGAGGCCTAGCAAGTACCAAATTCGTAGGGCAGACCAGCAGGCTGGATGTTGCAGTTGATGTTACAGTCTTTAGGTAGAATTGCTTCTTCAGAAAACCTCAGTATTTGCTCATAGAACCTTCAACTGATTGAATGAGGCCCACCCACATTATGAAATCAGTTTTGCTCAAATTCTGAGGATTGTAAATGTTCATCGCATCTAAAAACGACCATCACCAAAACATCTAGAGTAGTGTTTGCCCATACAACCAGGTGTCATAACCTAACCAAGCAAACACATAAAACTAACCATCATACGTATTATCCAATGCATGTAGTACAGAAACTCAGTATATAATTCATTATACCTTATTTAATATATATATTTAGTGTAATATACATAAAATATATTTAACTAGAAATTCAAAATGTCTTATTTTATTTAATTTGGGGTGCTCTAGCAAGGTGATACTTTAAAGTTATCATTACTTCTGCACCCTTCACCTTATCTACCAGGATGTGTCAATACACCTTCACAATAAGTATATAAAAACAACTTTAAATTTATTTTCAAAAGTGATAGTTAGATATCCCTGTACAAATAGATGATCTACCAGGACCAGAATCTATTGCAATATAAGAGAGTACAGATTATTCTGAGATATAGCCAGGATTACTTCTTATGGGATACAGTAGCATAGACATTGTAAATAGGGATAGTATGCTATTATTAATTAAGTGTACATATATATGAATATACATGTTTATAAATGTGCATACACATATACATAAAGAGTATAATTTTTATTACTTAAGAAGGTATTTTTTGTTTGTTTGTTTTTTTGTTTGAGAGTCTTGCTCTGTCACCCAGGCAGCAGTGGTGCGATCTTGGCTCACTGCAATCTCAACCTCCTGGGTTTAAGCAAGTCTCCTGACTCAGCCTGCAGAGTAGCTGAGATTACAGGTGCTCGCCACCATACCTGGCTAATTTTTTTGTATTTTTAGTAGAGACAGGGTTTCACTATGTTGACCAGGCTGGTTTTGAACTCCTGAACTCAAGTGATCTGCCTGCCTCAGCCTCTCAAAGTTCTAGGATTACAGGCATGAGCCACCATGCCTGGCCAAAAGTATGTATTATTTCAATTGCTCTATGTATTTTCAGTGACATTCAGGTGACATGTCTAGAAACCCAAATCTCAAACAATTCCTCAGAATTATGTGAATCAATGTGATTTGGAGGTTTGGTATACTAGTTATTTATTACAATGTTATCATAAGGGCCAATAGTACTTTTGTATCAGCTTAGATATGCATACCAAAATTCAAGGAAAATCAAAATGGGTCAATCATAATAGAGGAGGTAAAACTTGCCTACATAGATACCAGCTGAGTGTGTAGCAACGTTCTCATCAATAAAGGTTGTTCCAAGGATATAAAGAGGCATTCCTGCTATTCCCTGCATAGTCTGCCCAAGGGTGATGAAATACAGGTATTTTGATTGGAACGATGCATCACTGCTCTGGCAACCACTGACAACCTTTATTTCTGTGCAAATATCTTTTGAAAAGACAATGATTACATTTTTGTTAATTGAACTCAAACATAAAACAAATGTGCAGCATTCTTTATCAAATATCATACAAGCTATTTCCAAAATTAAGCTTTTTTCTTTTAGTTAACATTTCATTTACATTGAATGTAGTAGTACTGCAATCAATCATCACGTTCTCAGAAAAATGCCATCACACATTTGGACCAGACACAGCACACACCTGTAGTACCAGCTACTCGGAAAGGTGAAGTGAGAGGATTGTGACAAGCCTGGGCAACATATTGTGACCCCGTCTCCAAAATAAAGGATAAAGAAAAAAGGAAGAAATTGTGTGGGAATCTTGCAAAAGATACATATATTATAAACCAAAACATAAATGTGCATGCATGATTGTATGTATGTGTGCACAGATATGTTTGTGTATTTATATATATGCATTTACACATACACATATTCCTCTTAAATTTGACATCTAATTCCCCTGACTTTTGACCCTAGGCTAAAAGTATTTCTAATGTTCTAGATTATCTGCATTATCAAAGAGTACCTTCTGAGTTTAGTTTTATGTTCACCTCTTTAACAATCTTTATATTCACTTTGTCTCACTCTGATTAAATAATTTCCCATTTTAGACCCACTAACTTTCAGAACATATGTTCATAAGGACAAGGCATTATACAGTGAACATTTCTTTCCATTAGAGTTAGTCATTATGTGGTCATCCACTAGATTTTAATTTCTTTCAGGTCATAGTGTATTTCTTATACTTTTTAAATTTACATGGTTATATAACAATATTAAGTAAATGCTTGTGTAATTAAATTTGTTTGTAGATTGGTAGATCTAGGCAATGCTATTAGACTATATTGGCCATGGTCATTCGGGTTGACATTTAACAAAATGCTCTTAAAATAATATTGTGGAAACACTATTAAAGTGCATATTGCAATACAGTATACAAATGAAATTTTCAGCTGGTTTAGTATCCATGTGAGATGATTTTGACTCCATATAAAGTAGGAGGTGGTCTCTAGAACTGTGATTCAAATGCTGAAGGTTCAATTTTGTACAGACATATTAACTTGTGATATCAGTGTCAATGTGATGTTTCCAACGCCTTGACCTCTTAGTTCCTTGAACGTTTCTCCTGTTATGCACTGTATTCCACCTACCTTAGCTAGTGATATGGTTTGGCTCTGTGTCCCCACCCTAATCTCATGTCGAATTGTAATTCCCAGTGTTGCAGGAGGGACCTGGTGGGAGGTGACTGGATCACGGGAGCAGATTTCCCCCTTGCTGTTCTCCTGATAGTGAGTGAGTTCTCATATGATCAGGTTGTTTGAAAGTGTGTAACACTCCCCACTTTGCTAGCTCTCTCCTGCTACAATGTGAAGATATGCTTGCTTCCCCTTCAACTTCCACTATCATTGTAAGTTTCCTGAGGCCTCCCCAGCCCTGTTGTACAGGCTGAAACAGTGTGAGTCAATTAAATGTTCTTTCTTTATAAATTACCCAGTCTCAGGTAGTTCTTTAGAGCAGACTGAGAACAGACAAACAGCTAGTCATTTAAAATGTCAAAAATAATAACTACAAACCTTTCTCAATGATAATTTCAAACATCTACATTCTAACCACCCCTATCTTTCCACTCACTCTTTCTAGCAACCCAATTCCAACAATCCTTAAAAATTCACCAGGGCATATAATCCATTGATTCTGCTCCTTTTCACTATCCCAATGTCCCCTTCATGTCCTTACTTCTTTCACTATCATCTAAATACTTTTAATTCCCTTTCTTTCTTTCTTTTTTTTTTTTATTTTTTTAAATTTATTTATTATTATTATACTTTAAGTTGTAGGGTACATGTGCATAACGTGCAGGTGTGTTACATATGTATACTTGTGCCATGTTGCTGTGCTGCACCCATCAACTCGTCATTTACATCAGGTATAACTCCCAATGCAATCCCTCCCCCCTCCCCCCTCCCCATGATAGGCCCCGGTGTGTGATGTTCCCCTTCCTGAGTCCGAGTGATCTCATTGTTCAGTTCCCACCTATGAGTGAGAACATGCGGTGTTTGGTTTTCTGTTCTTGTGATAGTTTGCTAAGAATGATGGATTCCAGTTGCATCCATGTCCCTACAAAGGACTCAAACTCATCCTTTTTTATGGCTGCATAGTATTCCATGGTGTATATGTGCCACATTTTCTTAATCCAATCTGTCACTGATGGACATTTGGGTTGATTCCAAGTCTTTGCTATTGTGAATAGTGCTGCAATAAACATACGTGTGCATGTGTCTTTATAGCAGCATAATTTATAATCCTTTGGGTATATACCCAGTAATGGGATGGCTGGGTCATATGGTACATCTAGTTCTAGATCCTTGAGGAATCGCCATACTGTTTTCCATAATGGTTGAACTAGTTTACAATTCCACCAACAGTGTAAAAGTGTTCCTATTTCTCCACATCCTCTCCAGCACCTGTTGTTTCCTGACTTTTTAATGATCGCCATTCTAACTGGTGTGAGATGGTATCTCATTGTGGTTTTGATTTGCATTTCTCTGATGGCCAGTGATGATGAGCATTTTTTCATGTGTCTGTTGGCTGTATGAATGTCTTCTTTTGAGAAATGTCTGTTCATATCCTTTGCCCACTTTTTGATGGGGTTGTTTGTTTTTTTCTTGTAAATTTGTTTGAGTTCTTTGTAGGTTCTGGATGGTCAAACTGCAACCCTACTCAAAATAACTCTGCTTCCCACTCCCTACCTGTACTTTTAAAGCTTGATGTAGCTGCACAACCATGCAAATCCCACTTTGATTTCATGATTAATAAACTCGAGGAGGTCCTTCATGCTCCTGATAATCATAAAACATGCCCCTAATCGATTCACTCTTGCCTTCTCAAAGAAAATTCAAGTTGTTTGTTTCCCTTCTCCTAGGGATCGCAGTACTGAGCTTCCTACTGACCAACATCTGAAAATAAATGTTTTCTATCAAGAGACTAAAACTAATCATTAACTTCCTCTATGAAGACATGTATGTCCACTAGGATGCTACAGTTAGTTAATTAGCAAACTTGGTCACATAAATCAGTATGGATGACTGGATAGATATACAGACAAACAATTATCACAGTCTATTTTAAGTTCCTTGAGCCAAGATTTGAATGAATGTTGATTTGATATATGACAGTATATTTTAAAACCTTACCTTCAATTCCTACCTTACTTTTATTTTTTTCTTCATTAATGAATGGAAGAGCACACAAAAGTGATCCAAGTCCTATAAGAAAGGAGGAAGCTACAAACCATGTTACTTTTTTTCTGTCTCCATAGAATGCTATAAACATTACTACCAGTCCAGATGAAATATCATAACTCAATTCCAATGCCAACTTTTCAATGGTTTTCAGAGAATATTCCCTCTGAACATTGCCAATGCTGACATCTGTAAGACCAAACACCACACCTAAAATGTAAAAAGAAAAAGAGAAAGCAATGATATGCATTTTAAGAAGGCATTATTATGATTATTACGAAGCAAAATTTAAATTACATGATGTAAGTTTATTTTACATTATTCTGAATGTTTAAAAGCTATAAGCATGTAACAATTCCTTTTCTAAAACACAAATAGGCCTTAACCTCTACAAAATATTCGCTAATTGAATTTTTGAAGCTATTTTTTAACTACTTCTATGAGTAATTTCCTAAAGAATAGTGATTGCTGTGTCATCGCACTTAGTACTGATCTTTATTTTAATATATTGCATTTCACATTATAAAAAATTAAAAACTATTACTAATGTAATATTTATCTACCATCTAGAATAGAAAATAAAACATTATTGAAATAGTTAAAGCCCAATGCATACTTCCCAAACTCATTTGTCTCCCTTCCCTCCATAATCAGTATCCTGTATTTAAAGTTTACCAGTTGTTAGCCTTTTTAACATTTTTGACAATGCATATGTCCTTAGACAATATGAAGTATTGTTTTTCATGTTCTTGAATGTGAAATAAATGGTACCACGTTATATATATTTCTATCACTCAACATCCAACTAGGAAAAAAGTAATTATAATCACACTAAGAATTTGAAACAAAATTAATTGATGTAGGGATTGATTACAAAAGTAGTACATTAGTTGGAGTCCAAATGGTTACTAATCAAAATTCATGTTATCTATGCAACCAAAGTTACCAGTGCCTAGGTTGCTGCTACTACTGCTGCTGCTGCTACTGTTAGAACTGTAATCACTACCTTTTTTTTGCAGGAAGCCGGGAGCCCACAGTCTTCCTATGACAGGGAGCTCAACTGCTGATTCTGATACCCTTGCAGGTGCCAGAGCTCATGGGCTCTATAATACTGATAGCATCACATTTATTCCTGAGCATAAATCCAGGAGCCTTTAATCACCCAGCCTTGCTCCTGATGCCAAAAACACCACCAGAAACAGAAAGGAAAAGTAAGTCTTCCCTTTGCCCTTTTTCAAATCTACTGCCACAGATTCTTTGGCAACATGTAAGTCAAAGTCAGCTGGGCCCCAGCAACTCTGGGAAGTGTAGTTTCAGACTTCCCATTCCCTTGCAAATAGGAGTAATGGAGTTCATGGCCAACAGACAAATAACTTACAGAGTTTATCTTTTAGACTATTTGGTATACATTTTCACCTTTCCTCCCATATTTAAATTTTAATATCAAATAAGTAGCAATATCATCATGCTTCTGCCTAATGTATCACAATTATCATTTTACAGAGATGCTGTTACTCTTTCCCCCAAAAAAGAGAGATACATAGTCTAATCAATCACCATATCTATCTCAGTGTAATGCTAATCCTTCAGTTTAATCAGAAACCTGAATGGATTTTCTTTGACCTAAAAACCAAATTGCAAAGTTAACCACCAATAGTTAAGCAAATATATCACAGCACTAACTAAATATTTGAGGGGAAATATATTGCCAAAGAAACCACGAGCTAGATTTGGAGCCACGACTAGTTTTAGCAGAGCAATACCAGTAGGAAACAACCTATAAAAACTTTGCTGCACCCAGGATAAGAATTTTCTTTAACTTTTACATTAGATGTGGCCAAGGAGGATAATAGCCAATGTAGGAAATAAGTCCTGTCAGTAATTAAGTTTATCTCTAAGGTGGGGTTATTAATTCTCCTTCTAATTGAGGCATATTCTATAACCTAGAGATTAATTTATATGGTTCTATACCTTCCATAAAGTATTAATAGAAAAATACAATAGGAAAAAAGAGGAAGAGAGAAAATAAAAAACAAGAACATATATATATATAAACATATACACACACAAATGTACATATAACATATTTGTGTGTGAATACACAAGACAAGCAAGTAAGAGGAAATGCAGAGCTGCCACAAGTTTTATTTCTCTAAATGGTTATGAGACTATAGTTGATATTCATAACTTCCTTCTTCTACTATTCACTCCCTCTTCTACCCCTTGATCCCAGATAATATACATAGATTGTTCTCTCAAAGCACATAGGACAGCACTACAAACTTGTTGTCTACTACTGGGAGTGGTTGAATGTTGTCTACTACTAGGAGTCTTATCCGAGTCTTCAATAAGACATCATAATTATCTATAAGACCAAAAGTTTCTGGTTATTGAGACATGAAGTAAAATCAGTGAATTACATGAACATGAGCCTTCTGCTATACTTCTTTATTGTAAAATGAGTTCCTTGATTAGAAGCAACGTGTTGGTAAATATGATTATAATGCTTTATATGGCATTCATTAAGTCCAGTTATGGTAGTGTTAGCGGGACCATAATGACAAAAGAAGAACCTATATCCAAAATAAATGTCTAATTTAGTGAGGGGAAATTATTGCCCACTTCATAACAGAACCAGAACTATATAATACCTGCCTCCAGGTAACTGGTTGGTTTCACTAAGGAATGGGGCCAGTACCTAGATTATATTGACTCTTCCTGGTAGCCAGGCAGGCATTCAGCAGTGCAATAACCAGACAAGCTCTGGTGAAGGTAAGGCTGTCTATCACCTCCCATATAACCTCCATCCTTGATGTAATTGTCACTATAAATAAGACCCCATTGAACAAGAGATAGAATGGCTAGGGAAAGAGGTTGGCTAATATTCATATCTGTCTATGTACTTCATTATTGAGAGCCTCTTGTGCAATGGCTTTCTTTTGGTGAATATTCATTCAGATAGGATAACTCTACTTATATGGAGAGACATACCACTTACACAGCCTTCCTAATTACCAAATGGTCAAACCACTGGGCAATGTTTGACAATATGGACAATCAGATGTACTGCTCAATGTTCTTTCCACGGGGAGGATTTCCTTTTTCCTCTACTTTTCAAGGCCTCCCCTGACTAAGTATATAATGCTACCATAGCATACTTCTACCATTGAAAAATCACAGAGGCTCACCAAAATTTGTGCCTCTTTCTTAATAGTGAGTGGTACAGTAGCACAAATTTTCCTTCATTTTGGAAGACAGAGTGTTCCATATACTCTAAACTAATTGGTGTCTTGAACCACTACTGAAGTGGCAAGCAAATTTTGGTATATAGAATATTTTCTCATAGGATAGATTTTATCATTCTGGGAAGGCTAAATCTGATTTGAGTTATGAGTCTGGCAGCAATGGGGTATGGGATGGGTTATAAGGGGAATTAGCATTCCTTTAACTCAGGTGAGGTCAATTCAATGTCTTCAAGCAAGGAATTGTTTCTCTTAAGATATAAGAGGAATAACTGTTTCTACTGGCAAAGAAGGTACAGGATTTGGGGTTTCATGGTTCTCAGGTTCACCAAATTTCACCCAGATGCCTTTATCCTAATTCACAGGGTTTCTTTTTTCTCAAATCAATGCCCCAACTCCCACAGAAGTGATCTGGTGAGTTTGAGTTCAACTTATGTTGCAATTCTGCCACCTGTGAATAAGAGTTAGTATTGACCAAAAATATGTGGCTAAAAATAATAAGAGTTTCTTATGAGACTATGAGAGAAGCTCACACGTTTTCTAACCATACACTAAACTTCTCATTTTCCTTCTGTAAACTTTTCAATGCAGTTAAAGTTCCCACCACAGGAGTCAATTGCAGCAGCTGTTTTGTCTTTCAATGTCTTGCCTTCAATAAGAACTTTATCCTAGGCATAATTTAAATGACTCTTTTTGTCGCTACATGCCATGGATTTCTAGTGAACCATAATTCACAGGCACAAATACCACTTTTGTCATTGGCTTCAAGCTCAATCATGTCAGAGAACCAATTCCAGATTTCCATCTTTGAGGGTTTGTTAGTTTGTTTTGCTTTGTTTCTCCTGGTTCAATGACTGGTACAGAATATTATATCAAAAGTCATATTATTGGCTGGGTGCAGTGGCTCACACCTGTAATCCCTGCACTTTGGGAGGCTGAGGTGGGTGGATACCTGAGGTCAGGAGTTCTAAACCAGCTTGATCAACAGGGTGAAACCCTATATCTATTAAAAATACAAAAATTAGCCAGGCCTGGTGGCAGGAGCCTGTAATCCCAGCTACTCAGGGAGTCTGAGGCACGAGAATTGCTTGAACCCAGAAGGCAGAGGTTTACAGTGAGCCAAGATTGCACCACTGCACTCCAGCCTGGGCGACAGAGGGAGACTCCGTCAAATAAAAAGGTCATATTATTTTTGTAATTATAGACAAATTACTTTTATTACATTGGTGAAGCTGAAAAAGTTTACTTAAAACATTTCCAAGCATTTTTATGTTATATATCACAATGTTTTTTAAAAATAAGAATATTAATAAACACGCACATACTTTAACCAGTTTCTTAGCCAAACTATCCTTAATAAAATGTGATTAATATCTTTTCTGAAAAATATGTTTTAATAGTTTTTACAAAGTTAGGTGCAATATATTAAAGTTGCTTTTCACAGTTTTGCAGTGAAGGGTTAACTGAACAGGACTGGGTTGTTTTAAAAAGACCTGGCCTGGAGCGGTGACTCATGGTTGTAATCACAGAAATTTGGGAGGCCAAAGTGGGTGGATCACCTGAGGTTGCGAGTTCGAGACCAGCCTGATCAGCATGCAGAAATCCGTCTCTACTAAAAATACAAAATTAGCCAGACTTGGTGGCGTCTGCCTGTAATCCCAGCTATTCGGGAGACTGAGGCAGGAGAATCGCTTGAACCCGGGAAGTGGAGGTTGTGGTGAGCTGAGATTGTGCCATTGCATTCCAATCTGGGCAACAAGAGTGAAACTCCATCTCAAAATAAATAAATAAATAAATAAATAAACAAACAAACAAATAAAATAAAGGCCTGACTTCAAGACTGGCTGTTTGGTAGCTCCCAGGAGAAAAGCTCTAAGCCCTTGGAATATTCTGTCCGATAACAATGTTTTTATATGGCAGAGGCCTTGGGCCATATTGTACCAGTTTGATCACACAGTTTATGCTGAT